AGCCTCTGGAACAGAATATTCCAAAGATTATTGTTCTTGTTGTTAAGTGCCATCAAGTCACCAGTGACTCATGGCGACCTCATGTACATCAACTCCAAAACCTGCCCTGTCCTGAGCCAGTCTCGTCATCTCCAACAGACCAAATCCCATATTTCTAGTCACTGAGTCAATCCATCTCATCCAGTGTCTTCCTCTTCCGTGCTGTCCCTCCACCCTTCCAAGCACGATGCCCCTCTCCAAGGACTAGTCCCTCTTGGTCATGAGCCCAAAGTGTGTGAGATGGAGCCTCAAAGTCCTTGTCTCCAGGGGACAGCCAGATTTCACCCTCTCCAGGACAGACCTGTTTGTTCTCCTCTCTGTTCATAGTATGTTCAACATTCTTCTTCAGCACCACAGCTCAAAGACATCGATCCTTGGTACCAACAGTCAGAAGATTAGGAGGTGTACTGCACTGGGAAAGTCTGCCGTTAGAGACCTCTCCAAATTATTGAAGAGAAATCATGTCAGTTTGAGGACTAATGTGCCCTTAATGCAGACCACGGTCTTCTCAGTCACTTGCTATGGTGCTGAAAGCTAGACAATGACTAAGAATGACAGAAGAAGGCTTGATGCCTTTGAGCTGTGGTTGGAGAAGAGTCCTGAATACCGCATGGACAGCCAGGAGAACAAACAGATCTCAGAGAAGGTGTAGCCAGAGTGCTCCTTGGAAGCAAAGATAACAAAGCTTCATCTCACACACTTTGGGCATGTGGCTGGGGAGGCTATTCCTTGGAGAGGGAGGTCATGCTTGGAAGGACAGAGGGTCAGCGGAATGGAGGAAGACCCTCAATCAGATGGACTGTCACAGTGACTACAGCAATGGACTTGAGTATGTCATAGATGATGAGGCTCGTGCAGGGTAAGACAGGGCTCGGATATGTTTTTCATGGGGACACTGTGAGTCCTACTCGACCCAATGACACCTGACAACCACAGTGATGGAATGCATAAGGTATCGAGTTACTAACAAGGGGTCAGTCCAGACCCACCAGCCACTCAGTGGGAGAAGGATGGGCACTTTCCTCCCTGGAAACTCCATGCAGGATCACCATAAATCTGAATCCCCTCGGAGACTGTGGGATTGGGTGAACGTTGATGGAGCACAGAACAGTGTGAGCCCGGGGAGCCTGGTGGTGCAATGGTTAAGGCATCAGCTGCTAACGGAGAGACTGGCAGTGGGGACCCACCCAGCAGCTCCTAGGACGGCAGACGGGTGGTCTGCTCCAAGTGAGAGTCAGAGACAAATGAACCCACTGCCACGAATAGACAGGCTCTTAGCGAGGCTGTGGTCTGCCCCAGGGGGTCTCCAAGGCTGAGGTACCTGCAGCATACTGCTGATGGGTTAGCCAGAGTGCTGCTGGCCACCTGAGTGAAGGTGGTTGTTGTTATAGGCCATCAAGTCAGAACCAATCCACAGTGGGTTTTCAGAGGCTGCAGATCACACACAGAGGGAGATTGTCCATCTTTCTCTCAAGCTGTTGGATTAGAACTGTCTACCTTTGGATTGACAGTGCAACTCCTCACCCACTAGGCTGCCAGTGTTCCCTCAAGAATGCTCACCACCTCTAAGCCCCTACTGGCAGCTCCACCTATACACGTGGGGCCGCTATGAGTTTGAAATGACAATAACAACAATATGTGGCAGAAGTGCCTAGTGGCTTGCACAGATTGGCCCCAGACCCTGAGGACAAGGTTGGTGACTTGAACCAGCCATGCTGCAAAGCCTGCAAAGGAGCTCAGTCCTGCTCTGGAGCAGACAGCTTGTCGAGGGTCGGAATCTGCTTGACAGCAGTGGGCTGAGGGCGTGACAGACGGGGCCTCAGTGGCCTCTATAATCCCGCCATGTCTGAAATGTTCTAGAACCTGTCCATCTTCCATCAGTGGGTGACGGCCTGCTGCCTGGGTCTACTGGGCTTCAGTGGGCCTGAGAGAAGGCAGCGATGTTTATTGAGCATCCACAGACCACCTTCAAAGACCAGCATGCACCCCCAGGACAGGGTCCCGAGGAGGGGTCCCGAGGAGTGGAGGGAGGGCAGTGTGGTCACCCGAGCCCGGGGACGAGCTGGTAGCACACGTGCACCAGAGAGCTGGCTGCCTGGCTCATCGCTCAGAGAGTCACCTGCTCAGAGCTGGCCCACTTAGCATGACCAAGCTCAGCAAACTCCAGGAACTCCTAAATCAATTTGAAGCCCCCAAATCGAATCAGATGGGCACCGTAACTTAGTTGACTCAGGAAGAAATGATCCATCAGCAACCCCCAGGCCCTAATAAGATGTGCAGAGACTCCTCAAACGAGTTATCAGAGGAAGAAAGCGTCTCAGAAAGCCTTTGCCACCCCCACCTCTGGAGAAGCCTTCCCCACCCCCACCCCTAGGAGGAGCAGCACAGGCTGGAGAATCGCTCCAGGCCCTAGAATGCAGATCCAGTCCTTCCAAAGCCAATTAGGGGCTCTCAAAATGCTGGCCCTCTCAGGGGCTCCACCAGGGGTCCCGCTGGAGAGCTAACCTTTCTGTTAGCAGACCAGCACTTAACAGGCTGTGTAACCAGTCCTTGCAAGAGGCACAGACTGAATTCTAAGAGAAGATCGCAGGCAGACTTGAGGGCCCCGGACAGAAGACACAGTAGAGGCAAGGTGCCATCATTCTCCCTCCACACGCAGTGCCGAGAAGGGGGTGGTGTTCCAGCTGTGCACCCACAGGGTGCAGGAGAATCTGGCCCACTGCTGGGACCCCAGGAGGCTGGGGTCATCTGTGTCAATGGGGAGTGGACATGGTGAAGTCCAGACCCCACAGAAACACATCATCCATAGTCCCCACATGGACACTGGGAGAGATCTGCTCAGTCCTCAAAACCCACCTTACATGTTATACTCATTCATTGATTCATTGATTCTTTCACTCTTAACGCTTCATTGATTGGTTCATTTGTTCACTGATTTGTTCACCCTTGATTCATCAGATTGTAAATCTATTGGGCCATTAATTCACTGAGTTAGGCATTGGTTTATTTTCTATTCACAGATTCCATCGTGTACTGATTTTCTCAATCATTGGCACGTTCATCTACTGAGCCATCCATCAGTACACAAATGCATCATTTCAGTAACTGATTCCTTCTTCATCCATGGATTCATTTGCCAATTGCTTGATTCATCTCCAAACTGATTTATTAACCCACCAACTCATTCATTAAAAATATCCACTTCCTGGATCCATTTGTCCATTTGTTGATAGGTTCATACTTCATTAATGTACACATTCCTGATCTGGTCACTTATTAAGCAGTGCATTGATTCATTAATTCACAGATTCATTTTTTGTCGTAGTTCATCAGTTATCCAGCAGCCAAACCGAAGAACTTTGTGCCTGTACAGCTCCACCCCTATCTCCACTCCTTCCTTTACTTGACCCCTACCATATGGCTAATCCTAACCTGAGCACTGATCTTCACCCTCACCTTAACCTTAACCCTCGTTAACAGTAGTTAACCTTGACCCTAGCCTTAGCTCTAGTCCAATCCTTACAACAGTTAGCTCTGACCCTAACCCTAGCTGTAATCCTAACAGTAGTTAACTCTGACCCTGACTCTGATCCTGACCCCAAGCCTAACAATAGCTAACCCTGACCCCAATCTCAGCTGTGCTCTCTGGAAATGTGTCCCCTTGTATAGAGAGGCAGACACACAACAGAACAATCAAATCCAAGTAAACCACTGTAGTCTCTTCACAGATCCACCACCTGCATCCACTCTTGCCACCAGCCCCCTGGACACTTGGACCTTTAGGCCCAGCACAGCCATCTGTTCCTGCTTTGCACCACCAGGGTCAAAGGGGTTCTTCAAAGCCCTGAGTTCATCCCTGTGGGTGGTGTCTTTACCTTTGTGTCCTGATGACTCCATAACTGTTGTTGTTAGGTATCATCGAGTCAACTATGTCACATACCAACCCTAAGTACAATAGCTCTGAATTCTGCTCCATTCTGAGCCAACCTCACTGTCTCTGACACACCTGACCCCATTGCCACAGTCAAGTGTCAATCCATCTCATTCGGGGTCTTCCTCTCCTGCACTGTCCCTCCACCCTCCTGAGCATGATGTCTTTCTCCAAGGACTGGTACCTCCTGCCAGTTAGGGCGGTGAAGCTGCTCTCCCTTCCTTTCCCAGAATAGCCACTGAAATGATCCAACCACAGGAAGTGGCAGCTGTGGCTGTTTCTGTCTGTTAAGGATGCAAAACTGTTCTACTTCCATTTCCCAGGAATAGTTATCTGAGACCCCAGCCCACTTTGCTATATTGTAAAAATCAACTGTGAACATCCCCTTCCCCAATTTCCTTCTAAGACAATATAAAACCTTCTCTAACTTTAAGTGGGGGCTGGTCTCGACTTTGGAGCCAGCCCAGCAATTTCTCCTCAATAAACTTTCTTGGCCTGAGTTGGGTCTGTCCTTCCTCTACAACCTTACATTTCTGGTGCCGAAACCCGGGAAGGGCACCTGCCAGGAGGCAGCAAACCCTGATTACCTCACTGTCTCTGTCACTCTTGTTCCTGTTCGCCCCACCAGCACAAACCCAGCCAGGAAGTGCAGCCAGCTTTTTCACTCTCTGCTTCTCTCTCTCTCTTCTCTACTCACCCTGCTCAGCCTTTTTAAATCCCCATGACCAACGTCCTAGTTAAAAAGAAATCTTCTGTAACTAAGATCCTCCTCCTCCTTTTCTGACCCTAACCTGCAAATAAAATATTACTTCCCCTCCTTCTCTGATCCCAGCCCAGCATATCCTCAGCTCTCCAGACCAAAGCATTCAGGCAGATCTGCTGAGCTCCTGTACCCCTCCCTTCTCTCAAGTAGCAGCTGTTACAGCCACAGGAAGTGACAGCAACAAACAAAAAAGTTTACAGCCCAGGCCGGCCACCGTGAGGGGCAGCGTCTGCCGAGTGGTCGCTGCTGCCGCCGCGCGGGCCGGGCATGGTGTTGGGTGCCAAGCCGCCCTCGCCTGTCTCGGGGAGCCCAGGGCAAAGGCAGCCGTGATGCTCACATTGGCCAGCAAGCTCAAGCGGGACAACGGCCTCAAGGGGGCACGCTCGGTGGCCACAGCGCCCGACTCAGCAGGGCGCGTGTCAGTGCGGGACAAGTTGCTCGTCAAAGAGGTTGCAGACCTTGAAGCCCACCCTTGTACCTGCAGAGTCCACTTTCCTGATCCGAACAAGCTGCACTGCTTCCAGCTGACGGTGACCCCAGATGAGGGTTACTACCAGGGTGGAAAATTTCAGTTTGAGACTGAAGTTCCTGATGCGTACAACATGGTGCCTCCCAAAGTGAAAGGCTTGACCAAAATCTGGCACCCCAACATCACAGAGACCGGAGACATCTGTCTGAGTTTACTGCGAGAACATTCGATTGACGGCACTGGCTGGGCCCCCACCAGGACACTGAAGGATGTTGTTTGGGGATTAAACTCTATATTTACTGATCTTTTAAATTTTGATGACCCACTGAATATTGAAGCTGCAGAACATCACCGTCGGGACAAGGAGGACTTCCGGAAGAAGGTGGACGACTATATCAAGAGCTTTGCCAGATGATGTGGGACAGGCCCCTGGGCCCAACGTCCGGACGAGCGCGAGCCCCGCCTCTCCAGCCTCATGTGCCCTTGTCCCTCCTGCGTGGTCAGTCCACGTTGTTCCCAGAAGTGGAGAAGCCCACCAAGTCAGACAGAGCTTGTCTTCTGGGTCCTAAGAGAGGTCTGCTTACCTGCCCGTGTTTTCCTTTATTCAAACTGTATGTTGATGAGATCCTTGCAGAGTTTCATGAACTCACCTCCAGCTAGAGCTTGCTTTTCCCTGCCCAGTCCAGTGATGCAATACACATTAGTGTAACCCGCAGACTGACAATAAGACACTGCTGCAGACTGAGGTTGGGTGCAGTTCTCTCAGTCCCCCAGAGCGTGGCCCCCACATATCCCCCCGCTCCCCAGAATGCATCCACCACCCAGAATCCACCGTCTACCTTACTGAGATGCATATTTTATTTAATGTAAGTATATTTTGGAACAGATTTGTAATTTGTACAATTGAATGCTTTAATTATTTTTTTTCTATTCAAAAAAATAGTTTACAAAGGTAAGACTTCACATCTATATAATTATATATTTTTACTAAAATAAGTTTTGTTTCATGGCTATTTTCTTTATTTTCTACCCATCTTATATTTTCAGCAGAGTTCAGGAGAAAAAAATACAAATTAAAAGAATCCTGCAACTTTTTAAATTCACTAACTTAAACCCTAAGTCTCATAAGAGAAAAATAGTAATAAATCCTCATTCTGTCAAATAATCTCCCCCATCTACTAGAAAAACCTCAGGAAAAAGGTTTATGCTACTGAAGTAACTCAAACTAAATTTTAAACTGTTGCTAAATCAATGTTAAACTAGAAAAACTTAGAAGAGGAAAAGAAGGACTAGCTAAAAGTCAAATTTTTTAGCACTGCTATCATAGACCTTTTTATCTAGGAAACGTGCCCAAAACTTCAATTCTCAGGCCTTTGTTTTCTGTATGAAAAGACTAGTCACAGTCACATAAGTCACAAATGTAAAAAATGCTTCAAGAAAGTAAAAGGGACAGAAGAGAAGCCCCCTGTCACTTGCTTCCAACACAGTTCTCCTTAACACTTAGCTCAGCAAGGCCCCAAGAGTGTCTTGATGGAAGAACAGTCAGACTGGGGGAACCCTGGCTCCCTGAGGACTACAACGAGTGATCAACACAGCACTGGCCATGTGTTTACAGCATGTGAGATGGAGCTTCAAAATCCTTGCCTTCAAGGAGCATCTAGGTTTCACCCTCTCCGTGACAGACCTGTTAGTTCTCTTGGCAGTCCATGGTGTGTTCAACACTCTTCTCTAGCACCACATCGCAAAGGCACAGATTCTTCTCTACTCTGCCACGACCCAGAAACTTGTTGGTTTGAACCCATTCAGTGGCTCAGCAGGAGAAAGACCATCGGTCTCCATAAAGATTGTTATTGTCAGGTGTGGTTAAGACGGTTCCAGAACGCAGTGGTCTCATGACAGCAGGAAACCCAACCAATGCTGCAATGCACGTGCACAGCAAGGTTGGAGCTGATGGGATGACATCCAACGACAACATGTGACTCAGTGCAGTTCAGGCCAGTCTGATTAAGATCACTGCCCCTCCAGGAGGGATTTCATGGCACTTCTTTGGGCTACTATGTCTTGTGGGGCTGTCCTTGCTCACAGCACTTAGCTCCCTGGGTGGCTGCTGTCCACCTCTGTGGGAAGCCAATTATCAAATCTAATATTAATATTTAACCATATGCTGCATCAGGAGATGAGGGAGGTGTAGATATAACCTGGTATTTCCCCTGTAGTACCAAGGCAGACCTTGGACGCTCACAGAGGTTAAAGCCAAGGCAGGCCTTGGGCGTTTTCACTACTCTTAGTTTGTATTTACTAATACCTTGCTCCTGAGGTAAGCATAAGGTTGACAATAGAGAAGAATTTTACTTCCTTTGTAAAAGATTTCTCTTTGTGATTTACTTCCCCATGATTTCTGTTATTTACTTGCTGGTGATTCTCAATAAAACCACAGGAAGGCATGACTTAGGGTCTTTGGTTCTTCCTGCTGTTTGCCCCCTGCTTGCAGGCTTTCTCACCTGTCCTCCATTCCTGTGTGTCCCCATCTTTTGTCTTTTCCCTCAGCCTACAACACATATCCCTGGAGTCCTGGTCAGACTCTGCTAGGTCCACCCACTCTGGAATCTGGTGAACAGTTATCTCTCAGTGCACTTGTGATCACTGAAGAAGACAGGGGGACATTCATAGTGGACGGTTGACCAGCTAGCTGGACCAGGAAATGAACCAATAAAATAATGATTTAATGATTAAATCATAGATTCATTGACGAATCAATGACCAAATGAATTAATGAAGAATGGCTTAATGACTGGATTGGCAAATGAAAGAAACAACTGGAGGCTCAATCAAGAAATAAATCAATGAACTAAGAGTCAAAGAGTGAGATGGATCAATGAACAAGTGGATCAATGAGTAATAAACAAGCCATGAATAACTGGATGAATGAGTAAATGAAGTAATGGGCGATTCAATAAATCAATGAATTAAACACATGTGGTTTTAATCCACCAGCAGACCCATGACAGGATCAGTGAGGAGAGTAATCACCTCCCTTGTGATTTACTGCCTCTGAAAACCCACTGGAGGGTCAGACACGGGTCAGTTCCGACCCAACGGTACAGAACAACAAAGACAAAGAATGAGTGAATGAATCAGTGAAAAACAGATCAATAAATAAATGAATCAGTAGACAGATAAATGAATAATGAGTGACTCAAGGAAGAAATGAAATGTAAAAACCAGCCTCTGCGGGGCAGACAGGTTGCCATGCTTTGTGTGGGGAGTGGGGTGAGGCGGGGTGCCCCAGGCCCCTCCCTGTCTCACAGACACACCCCTGAGCTTCCTTCCTGTGGACTAGAGCAGTCACTGCATCCTGTGAACCCACCCCCGGGTGAGCAGCTGCCCTGGAACCTTCCTCGTGTGCCCCCCCCCACTGCAGGCAGCACCCCAGTCAGCCTCAGCTCTTCTCAGTGAGTGACCCCTCCCTGAACCCTGGCACCTCCTCTTCCTAGGAGACTAGTATCTCCCCAGAACAGCCCTCCTGGGGTGTCTGCCCTTTGGGGGACTTCAGCACCCCTCTCCTAGCCCAACATCACTCCTTCCGTCCAAGGTTGTAATTGCAAGGTCTGAAGTACAGCCATGCAGTAGTCTGCTCTGACTGGGATGGGCCACTTACCCTGTGGGAGGCTCTGCTTCATTCTCTGTCAAGTAGGGTACCCATGAGATGACCACCTCCACTCCTTCAGAACCCAGGAGCCCAGCAGCCATGGGGACACTGGAGAAATTAGTCAAATAGCACATTTGCAAAACAAGGCTAAGAAGCAATTACAGCTTCCTGAGCGGGCTGGGCAGGCTGTCTGGGTGCGGAAGCCACTGTATCACCTGTCTGCCATCTCAGCCTCATTTGTTTATGTGTCTGGGCCTCTGGGCATCCGGGCACTGGGATCTGAGCCTGAACTCGTCTTAGAGAAAATAGATACACTTTGATTGATGTAGTTTTACCATGTGCTGCCTCCTGGCTGTTGCTTTGATCCCAGATGCCCGTGGGGTGCTCCCATCCCAAGCTGCACCCCCACCCCAGAGGAAGCCCCCTGGTCACCTCAGTCTGGACATAGGTGGTGACAGCTCAGCCTCCCCGTACAGATGGGACTCAGGCTCCATCAGAGCTCTGAGGCCTGGCTCATGGCTGGAGGCAGACAGCATTGGTTGAGAAGCTGGGTGTCATGGCTCATGCCCCATCCAGTCCCTAACTCTGCAGGGCAAACAGGTGGATCTGACTCCTGCCTTGTCCACACTCCTCCCACTGCTACTCTCTAGGGTGGGCTGACCCCTGCCCTACTGCCCCCACACACTCTGCAGGGAGGGCAGGTAGAGCTGACCCCTTCCCCATCCACCCCCACCCCCACACACACTGCACGGTGGGAAGATAGAGTTTAACCCTTGCACCACCCACCCCACACACACTCTTCAGGGAGGACAAGTAGAGCTGACCCCTGCCCCATCCACTCCCCTTACTCTGCAGGGTGGGCAGAGAGAGCTGACCTCTGCCCTATCCACCCCTCTTTCCCCTCACTGCAGGGCACACAGCTAGAGCTGACCCTTGGCCGCCTCTGCAGGACTGCATTGCAGGCCTGGCCACCACACCCGGACATCACGTGGAGGACCAGAAAGTGACGGTCACATGCTAGACTACAGGAGAACAAAGAGAAAACACAGCGTGGCCATCTGTCCCCCTAACACTGGACATTAAACAACTGCATAAATTAGGGGTTGGGTCAGTATGGACATGGGCTGTCTAGGTCATCACACTGCAGAAGCTGCCCTCCTCCACAGCGCAGACGTGACCTCACCTGCAGGGTTTCCATGGCCGTACAATGTTTACAGGAGCGGTTGTCTCGGCCTTCTATCAGTGACTGGGCTCAAGCCGCTTTAAAAACTGTTTTAAAACCAGGGTGCATAGGGGTTGTATCTTTTCTTCATACCTATCCTGTCTATATGCTGAACAAATCATTCAAGAAGCTGGACGCCATGAAGAGGAATGTGGGATCGAGATTGGAGGAAAACTTATTCACAACCTATGTTATGTAGATGACACAGCCTTGCTTGCAGAAGTGAAGACCTGAAACACTGAAGAACATTAAAGACTATAACCTTCAGTTGAAGTTAGATCTCAACAACAAGGGGTAAATGTCACCACTTGATCAATAGGCATCATTATGATATAAGGATAAAAGATTCGAGCTGTCAGTGATTTCATTTCACTTGTATCCACAGTCAACACATATGATAGCAGCAGTCAAGAAGTCAAAAGATGTGTTGCACTGGAAAAATCTGTGGTCGAGGGCTTCTCAAAAATTATGGCACTTGTGGTAGCTCCTCTCCGAGCTTCGCGATGCCGCCCAAGGACGACAAGAAGAAGAAAGACGCCGGGAA